GTTTGATGAGAATTTGTTAGGTGGACACTACTGGGCTATCTGTTTGAGTCTTGGAGGGAACAGCACTTGACCCACACAAGAACACATCACTGCATTCGAGATTCATGTATCAGAGCCCTTCCTGACTAGTACACACACCTCTGTCTTCACACTGAAGGCCTCTACTCTTGGCCAAAGTTGATTTCTGAAACATGTTTTTAGTGACCCAATTTGTTTTTGCTTTAGGACTACCAAATCATAACCATTATATTTATGTCTTCCTTTCCAAAATACATTTTAACTTAACATTCACTTCAACAAAATGGTATAAAAATTCAGTTCAGAATATATTTATGAGGTATCTGAGTTACTGGCCAGATGGACGAGTTCCCTGACATATTTCACTCTCTGGATGAAGACAAAAGTCATTGGTAAACACACAACTCTACCCCAGAGTGTTGAGTGCCATAGCTGGGGACCACTGAGAGCACATTCACAGTGGTGCAAGACACGTGGAAGAAAAGCAGGGAAGGTCCTGGAAACCAAAAGAACTGAAATGTTTACAGGAAGGGGTGCAGGTCACCAGTACCTCCAAATGTTCAGATACGACAAGGACTGAAAAGGTCACTGGTCACACTGGTAGGAGTGCCAAGAGGGTGGGAGTCTCCTGCAGGGTACTAAGGAGTGAGCGGGAGGTGAGGCAGTAGAGGTAATCCTACAGAACTCTCTCAGTTTGGCAGTGGGCTAGAAGGGGAGCTGGAGGCCAGGTAGGATTAGCAGAGGCTTGCATTGTCTTTGCATGTAGGGCAGATTTAAACTAATGGAATGAGTCCTTCAGGGAAAGCAGTGAAGGTAGCAGTAAGAGAAGAGATGATCAATTCTGAGAGGTCCCTGAGAATGAGAAGGGGATGGTACTTATAGCAAGGTAGAAGAGCCAGGCTTAAACAGAACAGGGTAGCCCTTCCACCAATCAGGAGGGATAGGGAAGAGACATGTGTAAATAGGTTTCCAGATTTGGAGGCAAGAAGTTTTAAACTGGAGTTTCTGCATTTTTTTTTTCTTTTGGGTGAGGTAAGGGGGAGAAAAGGCACCATCGTCCTTTGCTGAGAGAGAAGAATAAGGTCAGAGGTCTGAGTAGGTCAATCGGAATCTGCAATTCCCTGCTGTCTTTGTCACTGCCCAATAGCTACTATTTTATTCTGATGAAGTTTTAGGCAATCAAGAAGGAAGTACAGGATCGATGAGACCAAGAAAAATAAATTTTAGAAAATGAGAAAGCTTTATTCTGTCTCTTCACTTACCCTCCCAATGGCTACCCCTTCCTGAAAACATCCTTATGTCTATTTGGACAGGATCATCTACCTCTGTATCAGCACACAAACATATTTTCTGGCTCTTTTATGTTCATGCACTTGTTCAAGCACCAGATTTGTCTCACTCCCCTGAGCAGGATAAAATTTTGTCAACTGGGGACTGCCAGACCTACTCCCATTTGCTGGGGTCCCAGCCACTTTGAATTGAAAGTGGCTGGCATTCTGATTGCACCAGTACCCTAGAGTTCTAATTGATAGAATATGGAGTCTCCTGAGTGAGAATTATGCTACAATTTCAGATTTTAAAAAATGACACTAAATTGAAAGCTTTTCCTATAGTCTATACACATTCCTTCTCCACTGAAGAGCCCAGCAGTTACAAGTGTAGTTTGGGCATGCTTAAAAATGTTTAACCCATTGCTTTCTTTTTTTCACTTTCAAATTCCTCCCATAACATTCTCTTTTTTTTCTTCCTCTCTTCTCGACCTCTCCTCCTCCTTTCCTTTTCAGAGTGAGTTGAGACATCACACGCTTCACCTTGTTGCTGGATCTGCAACAGTGCAAGGGTTTCTATTTTCATCTTTTTACTTTCAGCCATACATGGGTTGCCAGGGATGTGCCCTTTCTGCATGCTTGGACCAGTGTTTCCTGCCTGGTGCTTTTCCTGGCAGGCTGGCTACTGCAATGCTTTCTTTAGGAAAGAGAGTAAATAGAACCAGGAAGAAAAGTCTACGGACATTATTTCTCTGTCTTCACATTCCTTCCTTTCCACACACCAGCTCTCTGTTCAATTGTCAGTTGAGCACTTGCTGGTGCCAGGTCAAAGAGAGGCACTCAGTGAGGAACTAGGCATTCAATGATAAAAAAAGAAATGGTCCTTGTGGGCTGGGGCATGGCTTAACTGGTAAAGTGTCTGCCTAGCAGGTATGAAGCTGAGTTCAAACCTCAATACTAAGCAAAAGAAAAAAAGTCCTTAGGCTCAAGGGATGGACCCCTGTGACCTTGGTAAAACTAAGCTCTCCTCAATTCATGGGATGACGTATGAGGAAAAGGGGTCAGATGGTTTCTTGGGAACTCTTTGTTTTTAATAGCTATGATATTTATTTAAATTAACAATCTTCAACCTAACTATTTACTCTGCCCTGGACAATTTCTCTTTATATCTTAGTGTGTGTATTGGCCTGTCTCTTCTATCAATTAGTATGTGTTCCAAAAATATGAAGGCATTTAAATACCAAAGGACAAAGAAATGATATGGAATACTATATGTTTATTAAGAATGTGCTCATAAAAGCTTTCCATGCATGGAAAAATACGCACATTATCACATCAAGAAAAGAAACAGATAAAGGCAGCTGAGAGATACATAACACTAGGTATTAAGTTATTTGTTAAAATTTTTATACCTGTTATCCTTGAATGGTAGGATTGCAAGTGTTAATTTTTTTGGTGGGGGTTGCTGGGGATTGAACCCAGGGTCTCAGGCATGTTAAGTAATACTCTGACACTTTGTTTTCCACTTTGTTTATTTTTCAAAATAATAATCATCACATAATTATCACCACATGTTTTTACACTAAAATGAATAAAGTTATACTTAAATATATAAAAGTGATTGTTTTTTGCAATAAAAATTTTAGCATGTATGCAAAAGCTAGATTTGAATAATTTTCAAAATATGCTTTGCCTTGAATTTTCCAAATCTGCCCAGAACAATGAATTTTTTTTTTTTAGATTCTACACCTATATAAATGATCAGATTCTGGTACCTTTCTAAGGTGTAACAATCTTATTAATAGCCATGTAAGAAAATCTGAGGGCATTGAGAAGGGAAAAGGAAAGACAATTTCTCCATCTGTCCAAAATGCAAGGTTTTATTTAGGGATTTTCACTTTTTAGAAAAGGTGAAAGGGCAGGTCACTGAGAGGTTATTTCAGGAGAAGGCTGTGCACATGAGTTCATCACTCCAAACAGGTGCTGTGATGTGTTTGCTCAAGCATGATTCGGGGTATCAGATCACAAACTGAGGGAGGCCATACATGCCAATTAGTACAAGTAAAACATCTAAAAGAGAAGGCACTACCTCCATGTATGGAAGCAGAAAATCCACAAGAAATAACAAAATGTCTGGTTACCGCTAGGTGCAATGGAACCCCATCCATTTCTCACAATGGGTGGGGGCAGGGAAAAATGCAGAATGGCCAGTAGCTGAAAGCCTAGCATTCACTCTGGTTTCTGGGAGAGCTGTGAGGGAAAGTATTATCAATATTTTCAACAGGTCATTTTGTAATGTGGCATTCAGAAATTTAGAAGCTAAGAAGATTACACTTGGGCCTTCTGAAGCTATGGACTCCCATGTGTCAGTTGCAGCCACCAAGAGAGAAGATCTGCTGTTAGCTCACCTGTCCCCTGGAGCTAACAAGGGATTTCTTATTCAGCCCGCTACTCAAATTGTGGGCCTCTAACCAGCAGCACTGTACCCCATAGGAACTTGTTAGAAATGCAGAATCTGGAGCCTATTCCAGACCCACAGAAGGGAATCTGCATTTTAACAAGATCCCCTGAAGATCTATATGTAAGATAAAATCTGAGAGGCACCGTATGTTAGGTATGGAATAGATAAGCTACATTTTAAGCACTTTTGAATTCATTAATTTTTCTACTTTTTTGGAAATAAAGTTCTTTAATGTGGGAAAAAGATTTATCCTCCAGCTAAGATCTGTGTGTGAGCACATGTGTGTCTGTCTGTCTGTCTTTCCCCCAGGAAAGGTAATCCAAAGGAATTTAGGAACTTGACATTTATAATTTTCAACCTACACAGGCCAGCATTTTAAGCTGCCCCAATTTTCTAAATTCTTTATAGCTTTTTGTAATTCCAGGCAAGTTTTTACTTGTGAAAACATATTTACTACAGATTTCTAAAATTTTTTCTCTCTGCCTTTTCACATTTTCTGGGGAAAATATTTTACCTCTACACTCAGTCTCTCAAAGTTACTGGGAATAATTCTAACTTTATGTTTTAACGAGGCTTCTCATTATTGACCTGGAGGATGGTATTCTGGTTTCTAGACTGAAAACATGATGGCAAAATCTGGTCATGGTGCTTACTGTAATCCCAGCGAGGCAAGAAACATAGGTAGGAGGATCACAGTCCAAGGTCAGCCCAGGACAAAAATATGAGACTCTATCTGAAAAATAACTAAAGTAAAAAAGGGCTGGGGGTATGGCTCAAGTGGTAGAGGCCTTGTTAGCAAGCTTGAGACTTGGAGTTCAAATCCCAGTACCACCAAAATGAAATAGAAAGCATAAAGGCAACGTGGTATGTGTCTTAAGAATCTACCTCTGAGGACAGGACCTGCTGGACATAGAGTTTAAGTGGCACAAACTCTATCTCCAGGCTATCCTTGGGAAAATTTCTCTTCAGAAATGAATGACCAGATTCTAGTACCACAGACTACACTGAAGACTTAAAGGTATCTGGAAAATGTGCACATCAATTTACCCTTGACCTTGGAGGGGAAAAGGTCAGAGTACTTTGAAGGAAAACTCAGAGATAAATTTGAGGTAACACTTATTGTGCTTTTATGATTTTTTATCACTGAATAATGTTTTAAGTGTCCTCTAAACATCTGGATTAAACAAAAGAAAAAGGCAGAGAGGATCTAAGCCTGGACCTAGGTAGAGAACTCTTAGAAAGTTCACTCTTACCTGATTGTCGAACCCGTTGAAGAGTCTGCTGGACCAGAACCTCTGATCTTGGGACGATGATGATGAAGTCCACTTTGCTAAAGTGGCCGAGGTCCAAGCTCTGGCTGCCACTATCTGCAATAGCACATACCTGGGATAAGAGTTTTCTGGCAACAGTAAGCTGCGGTTGATAAATTTGGAAGGTTTCGTTATCTGAATCTAAAATTAAAAAAAGTTAAAAGAACAAGATTAATTTACTTCTGTGGTGGCCACTATGAATGCATCTAGGGGCATAAAACAGAGGCAAAATAATGCTCTATCACCAAGAATTCTCACTTGCTGTTCTTATTTGATGTTGAGTTTTAATAAATTTGCCTGTTTCTCTCTAACACTTGGCTGAGAAGATGTGCTCAGGAGTTAGATTTGGCAGTTTTAGAAATGTATTATTTTAAAATCAATTTGTCTTACAAATGCTAATTTGGCACCTCCTACCCTAAGGTGGAGACAGACTGCACAGTCACAGATGGAGTCAGGATTCATCTGAAGAAAGGAGAATTTTCAGGTTGTTGTTCGTTTTTTTTCAGGAATTTCAGCATAGGCCAGTGTCAGAGCCCAGGCTCAGCTTAGTAGAGGAGGCTATGCCATTAACTTGATAATGCTGAGTTCCTTTGGACTGCTTGGTACAGCAGTTAACATTCCCTTTTCAGCAAGTTAGTACAATATTTCCTGAAATTCTTCTCCTGGTGATGAAACAACATGGGTCATGAAGATACAACCCTTGCCTTTCTTCCTACTCCACGTGACTCTGCCAGTGCTTGTGACCTGGCAGGCCTAGGTGGTGTGGTCAATGCCAGCACTGATGCCAGGACTATCTGAAGAGACCTGCTGCATGATACAGCCAGCTGGCCTCTCAATCAGTGATGGATTACAAAACACTGTCCAGATACTCCATGCATGTCAGTAAGTTTTTATTGCAAGTTAGAGCCAAGCCATCGATCTCTGGGACCAGTGTGAACATGTTCACACACACACACACACACACACAATGAAAGAACCAAGCTTCATCAGCAAAACACCAAGCAGGCCAACCTTCAATCCTACTTTAAAGAACTGCTTTTTTATCAGGAACACATTTGGCAATTTGACTAAAGCAAAATCACAAGTCCCTAATTAATGCTGTGCTAATTAATGTTGTTTAAAATCAAACTGATGTGACTAAGGCAGACAGTAGTCATAACACTCTAGCTGACTGAGAGTGGAGCTGATATAGAGGGTCTTCCAACTGGCAGAGAAAACTCATTGGCAAAACCCAAAGCTGCAAAATTTAGTAGCAGGGCCAGGAATACAGCTCAGTGGTAGCATACTTACCTAGCTAGCATGCATGAGGCCCTGAGTTTGAGCACCAGAAAAAAAAAATTAACAGTAGTCCAAACAGATTTTTATTCAAGAAGAATACTAATTAAAATAAGCCTGTCTTCTGATACAGTATAGATGCTATTTCCTTAATTTTAAAGGTTGGCTGGGTGGGACTAAACATATACACAAATTTGTAGAATTTAACATAGCAAATGCTGAAGTTTGATGGAATATAAAATTACCTTTAAGCAATGTTTCTTAAACAGGGAACCAAGGATATGTCCTTGGAGAGCTGTAAGTACTCTGAGAATTTTTAAATTCTAAATTTGTTCACAGTTCATAATGGTTAATTTAAATTATCTGGATGACTGCTTTATTACCAAATACAGCCCAGAAGTCAAAACATTTTATGGTATGTATTTGCATATGTTTTTCACATGGAGCTGATGCCAAGCTGTGTTACTTTTATTGCCTGTGGCAATCTTCATGTATAAATGATGCATTCCTATCAAGGGAAGGCCAAATGGCTGTCAGCAGCTTGTGTGGGTCTGTTTCTCACCTATTCTTTCTCCTGTCCTTTCCTATGCTATCCCTGTCAATCAGTGAATTTGGGAAGGAATTTAACCCCAAGGAATCCAGTCTAATGATCTGACTCCTCATTTCTGGTCCTAGGTCCCCCTCTGAGCTCCTGATGTATTGTAAGGTTGATGATGTGTTGGTTTGACCAGGAAGGCTCACTCTCCTGAGATGACAGGGGTTTAACAAACCAGAGAGTAAGCAAGGGAGCAAGAGCCAGGGCTCCTAGATACATGGTCTGCATCTGGATTATTTCATGAGGGGTTTTGAGGTCCTCAGAGTTGTCAGAGTTTTGACAACTCTCTGGGCACAGCTGGTAGAGATAAAGAAAAAACACTGAGGCTCCTGAAGACTCTCAGGGGGAAAAATAAGGGACTGTTTAAGAGCAAGTGTTTAGCCAGGTATTAGGTGCATGCCTATAATCTTAGCACTTGGGAGGCTGAGGCAGGAGGATCACCAGTTCTAGCCCAGCCTGGGAAATATAACAAGGAATTGTCTAAAAAAAAAAAAACCATAAGATACAGTGCTTGTCTTCAGCTTTAATTTTAGGAGTTTTCACTAAGAATAAGGATTTTCATCCAGGCCACAGGGTAAGTCATTTTTCAATCTGAACCAGATTTATCATGTAGACAAGGAAGAAAAGCCTGTTGTGGTCTATGACTTGAACACTCCTCAATAACGTCTGTCACAGGCCTGACTTCCAACTCTTAGTCTGAGATGACATTACCCAGGTTTTGCGTTGGAATCATAGTAGCAGCCTCCTGGGGTGACACACATTCATTAAGGTCTCCATTGAAAGGGGTGACCACACTGTCTCCTCTTCTTTGTTGCATTTTTTCTAGCAGCTTGTCCAGGTCATCACCTATGTCAAAACAAAGTGGAGATAAGAAGGTTACAAGGAGTGATATGCTTATATTGTTCTTATCAGTCTCCAAATTGGGCAGTTAGACTGGGTTCTCATCAAGATTTGTGAGTCAGCCAGCAATTCATGCCAGAGTTTATACTTAGCCATCTCTACCCTGGTGTCTTAATGGTGAGAGCTATGGTATCTACCCTTGTAGGTATGTGCTTACATCTGACATGCTTCCACATGCTGGATCTCTCTTGACCTGCATCATATTCAACAGCAAGCAGGCAGAAGAAAACTGAGTTGAGAGAAAGAGAGAGAGAGAGAGAGAGAAAGAGAGAGAAACTTGCCAAAGGTCACTGAATAAAATCATGGCTGAGCTGATCCATATACCTTCCTCTGGACCCCACACTATTTCCTATGGTGTTAGTCACAAAATACTAAGGCTAACCCATTTCAAATAAAAGTTCAGCTGGCAAGCTTAAACTCCACACTCATCTCAACAGACTAAGATTTAAATTCACACAATCATGCAGCTAGGGGCTGGCAGTACTGCAGAATCTTAAAACCACTCACCTAATGAAGTGGTTTTGAAATGTGATGCCAGGAAACTGACCTTTCCTGTGATGAGCTCATAACTAATTTCTTTCAAAAACTCACTTGTGGTTAGCATGCTCTCTGCCAGAGCCCGGGACTGATGTTGACCTGAAAGACAGAGGGGAGAAGAGATGACTCATCAAGGGAACAAATATTCACTGGAACATTAATTTTTAGCAGCCACAGCTGGAAATAACTGCAGTATGTAACTACAGGAACCTGGTTAAGAAAATCATGGCTGGTCAAAAGAAGTCAACAATTATGCGGCATTTGAAATCCCAATTCAAAGATTATAGACGGAGATATAAAATGTTAATAATTGTAGTACTAGGTAATCAAGGGAGAAAATGATTTGCCTTATGTGTGTAACTGAAAAACATACTTATGCATGTGTTTAAAGACTAGGGAAAAATACAAAAAACCTTATAAAATTGTATTTGCATGATGATTATAAGTATTTACCTTAAACATATAAAATTACAGAGTTAAGCTGTTTTTAGAAATGAAGATAAAAAATTAATGTATCATTCTGTCTGGTGAGGTTTTCTGAAAATATGAATAATAAAGAAGGATGGACAGGCAGGTTTTGCCAATGTGTATGTTTGGGGTTTAGTCATTTGGTGCCTGGTAGAATATCAGCACAGAGCAAAAGTGAAACAAAAAATAAAAAACAAAACCAAATTGTACATACTGTAATGTACTCACTTTCTGAGTATTTTCTTTAGAGTCATTATTATAAAACAGACTTTTCAGTGAGGATGTGAATGCATGACCTAAGCTTCTGGCAAATGAGACTGATTGGCATAAGCCATCTATGGCACTGGCTCTGTCACATGCTAGAATGGCAACATTTCCAAAACCTTTTAAGGACAGAAGTTACATAAGACAAGGGTATCTGTTACAAGGGTAAGCTTTGAAAGAATGTCCCCATAACCAGCTGACAGCGGCACTAGCCAAGCTGAGTGCCACAACATCAGATCGAGGAGAAAAGGAAAAAATTAAAATTGAGAGGAAAAACACAAGTTGCAGCAATTAACCAGAAGCTGATTATGTAGAAACACCCGATAACTATTTTTTCAAATGGACAGATGACTGAATGAATGCATTAAATAAACCACAAAAAATGACTCACCTAACACCACCACACAAAATTCATTTCCTCTGATTTTTGATGCACAAATTGCCACAACATAATCTGGTAGCCTTTGATAGTGTCTCATTTCACTGAGAATCCTCAGTGTCTCTGAAATGCCCTCAGCCAAAGAATTTTGGGTCACAATCACGTGAACCAAGTCTTGAGACACGCTGGCAATTAATCTAGCAAGCCATGGGAGTTGTCCTGGTGACACAGGTGTACATGAAGAGCCCATCTGCAGGGCTCGCTCTCTCAGAGTAAATTCCTGCATAGCTTTCAGCATAATTTGCTCAAATTCTTCCCTGAGAGGCATCTGGTCAGGACCTACGTTGAAGAATATAACAAGCAGAATTTCAAAGTCACAGGGAGAAGACAGACACACACACCACCCACCATCCTGCAGTTCTTCTAAGCCCACCATCTTTTACCTGGCAAGGAAGCTCTTTTTCTTGCAGTGGTCCTCAGTGTAGAGCCCCTGCTAACCACTTCTCATTGTATAATTTCCTTCTCTTGGCCTCTATTTTTTTTTTTTAATCAGACTTCTATTCCTGATCTCTTTAAAGGAGGATCTACTAAGATGCAGTATGCCTTGGGAGACAGTCATTGCAGGTAGCATATTTCTTAACTTATTTACCTTGGCATTATGGACACTGTTAATAAGTAATAAAGTAAGAAGTCAACCTACTAGTGTATAATCAATTTTAGGTTTCATTCATTTCTTGTTTTATTCATAGGTACTTGGGAAAACATTTTAATGTATTGCCTCTATACCTAATTTTAAGAACACTGTCCACAGGAAAATTATTTTTTCATTTCTAATTTATATCTTGCACACCCCCACACACAATTTCCCAGATACAGGATGCATTCATTGTCTAGTTATATTCTGTATTCTGGATTGTTAAATATAACATTTAGCCTATTCCCTAGCCATGGTTAGAACTTAGCTTGTACTGCAGACCTGTGGCCCCTGGAATTAGGGGGATTTTGTTTCTTATTCTCTTTAGAAATGCAACCAGTCTTTAGAACAAAATAAGCTTTGGCATCCAACTGACACAAATTAACTAAGATTTCTACATTTACTTTAAATTAAAACCAGGGAAAATACATTCAGTCCCTCTATTCTATCATTTCTTTTGCTCTGTGTATCTGAGATTTGAAACTCAAGGGCTTCTGTCAACAGACACAGACTTCTTAGTATCTGTGATCTGAGGCTAAGCACTGGTTTCAGAACCCGGGGCTAAGGGACCCTTACGAAAGAACACAGAGATAAGGACTGGACTTCTGTCTGGAAGGAGGCACCTTGAGCGAGTCAGAAGTCATTCCTTCCTCTAATAGGGATTTAAGTGTTCTCCTGACCCTTCCTATCTTTTCTGGGACAGTAAGAGAATGAAGGGTTTAATCATGCTTTTTTAAGATAAGAGAAATTAAATATTATACATTTTATAAATAAGTAATTTACATTGGAAAAAACAGTCTTTCTAGGATTGGTTGAGGGAAAGGTAAGAAATGGAATTCTAATAGATCTTTGTTTTCCATACAGAGAAACAGAAAAACAAAACAAAACAAAACAAAAGCCCTGTAATACTTACATTAAGTTTGTTTCTGGGGCTGAAGGTATAGGTCAGTGGTAAAGTTTTTGTCTAGCATGAGGCCCTGGGTTCTATCCCTAGCAACATACACACACACACACACACACACACACACACACACACACACACAATTTGTTTCTGATGTCCTTCCTATCCCAACTACTTTCTAGAAGGAAGTGGAAAATTCACCATCTTTTTTCTTTTAATTTCTTGGAAATTTATAAGACTTCTGATCATTCAGCTTTATCAAATTAGAATCAAAGTTAGTGGTCACCATATACATACTTAGTAGTGAGCTCAAAGTAGCTAGATTTGTACTGACTGTATCAAATGAAGGGAAGGTGGCTATCTTTTCAAAGCTTTCTTCCACCAGAACATATGACAGCTGAAAGGCAGGTGGCCTTGACTCCAATTCCTATTGTCTCTCATTGACAACCTAAAAGCCTAGATCATAGTTGTGTCCTCAAAGCCCATTTCAAACCAGGGCTGAGCAACATGTTGTATTAGGAAGCACAATTAATCCAAATATAAAGGCATTTTGGAAGAGCAAAATTATTAACGTATTTCCAGCATTCTGTTATCTTAAAACTCTTTTTTTGTAAAGTTTTGAACGAATTACTGTTTGGAATAAAAAAATGGGGGAAATGTATTTAAATTTAAACAAGGGAAGAGACTTCTTAGAGCAAAGTTCTAAGAACTTGAGTTCTTTCAGTGATCAACCATCATGATACTTCACCTTCAGTCTTTACAGTAAATCACAGGCGCCTTTTTTTTCACTTTTTCCAAGCTTGACACTAGTACTTTTTTTCTTCAAGAGCTGATTTCCAGGAGCTCTGCGTAGCCTAGGTATCAGTTCTGATGGCTTTTCAGATAGAGCCACCTTAATTCAAAAAGACAAGTTTCCAACAGACACAGAGTCTTCTAACAATCTCTGGATTTGCTGATTTCATTATCTACTTCAAAAGATGTTCAGGTTGTGAAATAACAGGAAAAGATTTTTTAGAAGTGACTGTCATGGAGAGGCTTATTCTTCTTGAAGACTCTTGCTTTTCTTCTTTTTTGTTACCTTTCAGTAACTAGGTTACCAAAGTATTAAAACTTGTTTTTTTTAGAAGTTTGTCTTTATTTTTAATGTCTATAATTATGGCATATGTGAAAATATTCTTGCTGCCTTCTCAAAACCTCTAGGGGTATTTTTTTTCAAGGACTCTAGAACTGTTAGTTGAGGGGCAGAGAAGTTCCAATGCCCAGAGTTCAGATTTTAAAAAAAAGAAAGAAAGAAAGAGGTATTCATGTTGTATACTGAGGCCTAACTGATTGAGTGGAAGTAAAATTCAGAAAAGAATCTTGTTTAACTAAATTGGAAATCTCTAAGATAAGAGATTTTTAATAATTTAGAGGCAGACATTTTATTTTGACCATGTGAGATATTTAATTAACTTGGACTCTGGTTTTTTAAAATTGTTATTAAGGTTAAAAAATTATGTAGTGATTGGCCTAGTTTGCCGTAACAGGATTGCTCCATGAAGCTTTATTTTATTGATTCTGGGTAGATCTAGAAGAGACTTTTAAGTCTTAGAAGATAGTCTACAGTCCAAAGTCAGTATGTAGCAGTTAAAACTATGACATCTGGACTAGGAGTGTGGCTCACATGGTAGAGTGGCAACCCAAAACTATGACATCAAATGAGGTATAGCCTCAGGTAAGTTTTATAACTTTATTACCTACCAATAAGCATGATTTGTCACGAAAGTGGCTCTCATGGAAAATCCAAAGACTTGCAGGTTTCAAAAGCCCTTGTCAATGTGGAGCCCATGTCAAGGCAGCCTCTCAAGGAACTGAGTTCCAGCCAGGGTTGTTACTGGATGCTCCAATGGCTAAAACTGATTTGCTGAAACTTTTGGTTTTTTAAAATGCTGTTTATTCTAGTATTTTTATTATTTCTTAACACCCAAGTATTTTCTAATACTAAGAAATTCATGAAGATGCATGCAAAATTTTTATACCTCAAACATTTTTCAAAGTAAATCAGTGACTAGAAACCCTGAAGTGAATGTGTAATTAGGTTGCATATTTCATGGGCTACTACAGTTTGCAAAATAAAGGACGTTTCAATGTAAATGGTGAGGAACCACTACAATATTGTCAGGACACCTGCATATGCCCACTGTGGAGCTCAAAGAAAGTAAAGGGTTCATGACCTATGTATCTCCCTTACCTTAAAAAACCTAGAGAACTTCCAGGGAAACCCACAGTACTATCTACATAAAGGAAAACATCATAGGACTTCATCAAAGGGGTGAGTAGAAGATAAAATGGGTATAGGGCAGTAGATACACAAGATTAAAAGGCTAAGTGGAAAACTGGAAATAATTGTCTAAGCCAATGACTATGCTTACATTTACTTATTTATTTACTCATTCATCCATTCACTCATTTTTTGGGTATCTAAGCTTGTATTTCATTTTAGACACATTCCTCCCTCCCTCCCTCCCGTCCTTCCTTCCTTCCTTTCTTCTGCAATACTGGGATCTGAACTCAGGGCTTTATATCTTCATGCTTCCTAGGCAAATGTTCTACCACTTGAGCCATACCCTCTCATATTATTATATTTATTCTTATTTTTAGGAGTCATTAATAGTACAAGGGAGAGGTATTGTGAAAATTTCATAGGCACATACAATATATTTTGAACAAGTTCACCCCCTCTGTTATATTCCCTTAGCCTTCCCCCCTTACTTTTCAAACAGTATTTGGTGGGTTTCTTTATTCCGTCTTTATACTATACATGCAGTACACTTCGAACTTCTTCACCTCTGTACCCTCTCTTATCCCTCTTCTTCCTTTCACTGCTTTTAGAAAGGCAGCCTGGCTAGACTTCTTGGGAGAAAGGTGTCCATAGCACAACCCTCTAAGGTTTTGCCTGTATCAGCTGCTTTGGAAACCTTAAGAGCACTGTGAGACTGGACACTAGGTGGAGCAATTTGCCTCTTTTAGGACCTAAGGAAGCGAAGAGAAAAGGGAAAGAGTAAAGCAATGGAGGAGATGAAAGGGAAAAGCCATAGAAAATGGGGTTGAAGGAAAAGAATATAAAAAATAAAGAAGGAAAATAAAAGGCAGAGAGGTGGATGGATTCGAGAAAGAAAGGAAACAGTACATTCTAAAAAGAGAATAAAAAGTCATCAGCAAATGACTACTGAAAATACTTACCCAGGCGCACAAGATACTGTATTGTCAAAAGGATCATGTTTTCCACACTCAGGAGTTGGCTGCTCGTCAACCCCAGTTGTTCTAAATCTTTGTTGTCCAACTGAGGAATCTTGTAGCAATTCACCAGCAGAGGACTCACAACAATGTCACCAACATTTCCATAGAAATAGGGTAAAGTGCCATAGCCTGCCCCAACAGAAGCAAGTCAATAGAGTTCAACATTTTTTTCTGAGATCCAAACATGTACACTTGCTCAACAAGGAGCAAAGATGCTCAACAAAATCCCCTGCCCTCTGAGATGGCTACCAAAAAAATTCACTATTATAGAGCCACCCTAGGGAATTAACTTTGATGCTTCAAATTCTATGTCTATATTAAGTGAAATGAATACAAAGCAAAATACTCAAATTATATTATCTCTGTTTCCCACAGAAGGGACATGTTAATATATTTCTGCCATAGAAGATTGATGAGTTGCAAAACATCTCTGAAACCTTTGTAAAAGTGTGATGATAAAATATTTTCTAATAAAGTTTCCAAGCAAGTTTCTTTTTTTTCCCCCAGGAAACAGTCTCAAATTATCTTAGAAGTAGATAGGATTAAAATATGTGGAAAATACACCCTGCTTTGGTAGTATGGTGTGAGACTTTCTTGCTAGGCAGGTGCTCTACCACTTGAGCCACTCCACCAGCTCTGGTTTGAGACTTTCTAAAAGGCAAACACCAAAGGGTCCCCATGTTCTTGGTATCTTTCCAAGGCTTAGGTGTATTATGCTAATGTTCTGTAAGAACTTCCTGAGTCATATGGAATCTAAGCAACTAGGATTCCCCCAATGCCTACAGATCCAGAATCAGTGACAGATAGAATAACCTGATAAAGGACAGGGCTTGAAGCAAAACCATCTAAGTCAGTAGACTCAGGCCAACCACAAGCACAGATAACAACTCACATAAGCACACCCTACATGCTTTATCCTGGAGGGAAAGCAGACAGTCTCCTTCTGCCCTAGGCCTGTCTCAGATTGAGGGGACTTTGGATGGGAGAATGAAAGACAATTAGTCCTGGAATCTAGTGATATCTAAATTTCGATACCTCCACTTATAGACAGCCTGGAAGGACTGACTCCATAAAAATATTCACTCACAGGTGCTTCCCCATGGTTCAGACCTATGACCTGGTTTTCTTGAGTGAGGCTTAGCTTGTTTCTTCCCTATGTGGAAATGTCTCCTTCCCTATCCTGTCAACTCTTAGCAACCTACGGGACCCAGCTTAAACATCACTTCTGAGAAGTATTCTCAGACCCCTACAGGTAAAGGTAAGCCCTCTCTCCCCTGAGCTCTTATACCTCTTGGCTGTGAACCTCTGCTAGCTACTTATCCCAGTGTGTTGTAATGGCTGTTTACTGACCCCCATGGTTAGCGAGGGGTCAGATTCCCCCACTGAACAGTGCTCCTTGAGGGCAAGAAGACTTTGCCTTATTCTCAGCTTCTAATCACATGTTGAATACAGCATGAAAGAGCTGACCAATAAAAGCTGAAAGAATCAATAGGGGATAAATGAATATACTTATGAATGCATGAATAAACCTGCAAAGACATGGAAAAGCACTCTTAGATTCCAGAGGACACAAGCGACTTGGAATTCCTTTGCCTTACCTATCAGAATCACTGGTCTAACTCCTGAGTTACTCAGCAGGTTTTCAGGAACAATTACAGTTTCCCCTGCAGGAATGGGCCGAGGTTGTAAAATTCCAGTTAATGGGGTCTGTGGAACTGGGGCAGATAAAAGGGGTTCTGGGGGAAAAAAAAAATGGTTGTTTGACAAGAAGGATTATACATGAAAGCAAAATGAAATACAATGCAATACAAATATGTTTAATATATAAATTTTAGAGGTTTAATGGTTTATTGGTTGTTTAGTAAAGTAATTAATGTGTATTTTAGAAAATTAGAAGAAAAACAAAGGGAAAAGAAAAATCAACCATAATCATACCATCAGGAGATATCTACCATTTAGCATTTTGGTAGTTTCCCTCCCAGTTGTTTTTTCTTCATGCAATATTTTGGAATATTCTTACTTGATATTTTATCTATCCCCCCAACCCCCACATTACCAAAGGCATATGTGCCCATTATATAAATTTTGAAAAAAACAGAAAAGTGTGAGGGATAAACTCATTATTAATGAGTATGACCTAGGGGCAACCACAGTAACACTGGCATTATTCTTTGTGTACATAAGACATCCACATAGTCCTAAAAACTATTTATTTAGGCAAATGTAAAATTTTAAAGAATCCCACCAGTCTTAGAATTGGTATACTTATAACTGCCTGTTGAGTACAAGGCAGACAAATGTTTAAATGTTTAACTGTGGACACAAATGACCAGTTTGGATAGGGTGAATAAGAGCCAGTTGGTTCTTCAGATTCTAGCCATAGATTGAGCCATCCAGGACAGAAGTAATGAGCACAGGTCACATAGATAACCAGATTACAGAAGGGCAAATCTAATACCATGACTGACAAAGCAAGTCCATCTGTGTCCTATGATGGTATGTTGGTGGCATCATGATCTATATAATGAATGACTTATCAATACCATGGGTTAAAACTAAGCCAAAGGTTGTGATGGTACATGTGCTTGTAGGGAAGGTAAATGTGAGAGGGACAAAGTATTAGTTACTATCAATATCCTTACATAATATTGGACACAATGATTGGTTAAGGAAATTTATCTTCAAGGGTTTAGAGAAAGAACAAGAGTAGACTACCTACAGCCAACATCATACTTAATGGTGAAAAACTGAAACCATTCCCCCTAAAATCAGGAATGAGACAAGGGTGCCCACTATCCCCACTCCTATTCAACTAGTATTGGAATTTCTAGCTACAGCAATTAGGCAAGAAGAAAAAATAAAAGCAATTCAAATAGGTAAAGAAACTATCAAAATATCCTTATTTGCAGATGATATGATCCTATACCTTAAAGATCCAAAAAACTCTACTCAAAAACTCTTAGACACCATAAACAGCTACAGTAAGGTGGCAGGATACAAAATCAACCTACAAAAATCATTAGCTTTTCTACATAACAACAATGAACAAACTGAGAAGGAACACATGGAAGCAATTCCATTCACAATAGCCTCAAAAAAAATCAAATACCTAGGAGTAAATTTAACAAAGGATGTGAATGACCTCTACAAGGAGAATTACAAACTCCTGAAGAAAGAGATCGAGGAAGACTACAGAAGATGGAAAGATCTCCCGTGTTCATGGATCAGTAGAATCAACATAGTAAAAATGGCTATACTACCGAAAGCAATCTACATGTTTAATGAAATTCCCATCAAAATCCCAATGACTTTCATCACAGAAATTGAAAAATCTACCCTAAAGTTCATTTGGAAACATAAGAGACCACAAATAGCCAAGGCAATACTCAGCAAAAAGAGCAATGCTGGCAAGACTTCAAACTATATTACAAAGCAATAGCAATAAAAACAGCATGGTACTGGCACAAAAACAGACATGAAGACCAGTGGAACAGAATAGAGGACCCAGATATGAATCCACACAACTATACCCACCTCATTTTTGACAAAGGTGCCAAAAATATACAATGGAGAAAAGACAGCCTCTTCAACAAATGTTGGTGGGAAAAGTGGTTACCCGTCTGCAAGAAATTGAAACTAGATCCATGTCTATCACCCTGTACTAGTATCAACTCAAAATGGATCAAGGACCTAAATATCAGACCTGAAACTCTGAAGTTACTACAGAAAGGAGCAGGAAACATTCTGGAACAAATAGGCATAGGCAAAGACTTCCTCAGTAGAACCCCAGCAGCCCAGCAACTAAGAAAAAGGATGAATAAATGAGACTTCATAAAATAAAAAAACTCCTGCACAACAAAAGAAATGGTCTCTAAACTGAAAAGACTACCCACAGAGTAGGAGAAAATATTCGCCAGCTATACATCAGACAAGGGACTGATAACCAGAATATACAGGGAACTTAAGAAACTAAACTCTGCTAAAATCAATGAACCAATTAAGAAATGGGCAACTGAACTAAACAGAACTTTTTCAAAAGAAGAAATTCAAATGGCCAAAAAACACATGAAAAAATGCTCACCATCTCTGGCCATAAAGGAAATGCAAATCAAAACCACACTAAGATTCCACCTCACCCCCGTTAGAATAGCCATCATCCAAAACACCACCACCAACAAGTGTTGGTGAGGATGTGGGGGAAAAGGAACCCTCATACACTACTGGTGGGAATGCAAGCTGGTGCAACCACTCTGGAAAAACATCTGGAGGATTCTTAAAAATCTAAACATAGACCTGCCATATGATCCAGCAATCCCACTCCTGGGGATATACCCAAAGGAATGCAACACAGGTTACTCCAGAGGCACCTGCACACCCACGTTTATTGCAGCACTATTCACAATAGCCAAGTTATGGAAACAACCAATATGCCCCACTACTGATGAATGGATCAAGAAAATGTGGTACTTGTACACAATGGAATTTTACTCAACCATGAAGAAAAATGAAATCTTATCATTTGCAGGTAAATGGATGGAACTGGAGAACATAATTCTGAGTGCGGTCAGCCAAGCTCAGAAGACCAAAAATCGTATGTTGTCCCTTGTATGTGGACTTTAGATCTAGGGCAAATGTAGCAATGTGGTTGGACTTGTATCATATGACAAGAGGAGAGCACATATGGGAGATATAGGAATAGGTAGAAAACCCAAAACATGAAAGCGTTTGATGTCCCCACTCCAGAGGAACTAATACAGAAACCTTAAAATGACAGATTATCATGAGCAGGGGATCAGGAACCAATGTAAAGATCAGTTAGAGTTGAATCAATATGGGTCATAACACATGGGTACATGAAAGCAATAGTAGGAATCTTTCTGTATAGCTATCCTTAACTCAACTAGCAAAAACGCTTTGTCTTTCTTTTTATACATATGTCTTTTCTTCAACAAAATCAGTGATAAGGGCAGAATGGGACCTGCCTGAAACTGAGGGGGGGAGTGGGGGAAGGGTGGGGTAGGGGGGAAGGGTGGAGAAATGACCCAAACAATGTATACACATGTGAATAAATGAACAAAAAAATAAACAAATAAAAAAAAAGTAGACTATATCTCTCTAATTAAAAAAAACTTTAAACCCCATCTTCTGTTAAAAATCTTACCAGTTCTTGAAAGAGGGCGAATTGCAGGAACAGGTACAACTAAACCAGGTTGGGGGACAGGTGACCCAGGATACCATCCTCGGTGTCGTTTCTTTGGCGGCCCAGAAATGAACATGGTAGCTGGTGACAAAAAGAAAGCCTGTTTTCAGCAACATAGAAGGAAGAAAGAATGCCAAAGTGACATAGGACCTATACTTTGATCTCAGGATGTCTAAGTTTCTTTTCTAGAGGTAATGATAAAGTTTCAAAAGGTCACACAAACAACCCACTATCACACTAAGAACTTCCTAACATCTGTATACTGTTTTACAATTTATACTTTTACCCAGATTATTTCATTTGATTTTATCAACATTCCTGTGAAATTGTAGGAAAAGTATTTCTATTATATTCATTCTGTGGATGGAGAAAGGAAGGCTCAAATTTTCCCAGGATCACACAATAAAGTGGAACTTTGGATCATCAAAACCCATGGTTTTTTTTTTTTCCTCTAAGATGTTTCATTATACATTTGTTTCAACACTTACTTCTCAGTTAGGCTTTTCAAATAGAATCACTGAGAAATTTAATTGTTACTGCCCACTCCAATCAAAAACTTTCAAAACACTGTATGACAATAGTGTGTTGTCAGACAATTCAGCAACCACACCTCTACAGAGCTTTTACCAAAATGAAGTGCGTTATTTGAAACTCTAAGATGGGTGTTGTACCTTGGTCTACGGATGCGTAGCTAGGTCTTGGTGACAAGGAGTAGTTCCCTGGGCGGGCTGGAGTGGACCCAGATGCACTACTCTTGCCTCCATGGCTGTTCCCATTTGCAGCATCTGTAGAATAGGAGAGGAGCCACTCAGAACAGAGCTGGCAGGACACTGCCTTCTGTGAAGCTGTAGCCATCTGATAAACTTCACAGAAGCTGTAGCCATCTATAGACCTCATATCTGAAGGTTCAAGGAAACCTCAGTGAGAGGACTCAGCCCAGCTCGTAAAACCAAGTATAACCATCAGAGTAGTGCCTTTATTTAAATTAACTGTTGGATATGTCAATTTGAAGAATAAATTTAAAAAACTAAATACGTAAAAATTTCCTAGGACCCCAAGAGATCTTTTAGAGTAATTTTCAATGAATTCTTTGGTACCCCATTCCAATTTCTCTTAATTATGTCAGAAATGTTTTCTACAGCTGGCCTGCTCAAACTGGGATTCAAGAAAGATCTACACATTTGAGCTAGTCAAAATGTCCCTTACACTCTTTTAATCTACATATTCCCTTTCTCTTTTTTTTTTCTTTCTTATAATCAATTTTTTTCTCTTGAAAACCAGGGGAGATTTTCCCAAATTATGGCTTTTGCTCATTGGATATCTATGATATCATTTAACATTCTTCTGTTCCCTGTATTTCCAATTAACTAAATGTTAGAGATAAAGGCCTGATCAAATTTATGTTTAATATTTTTTGGCAAGAGAATTTCATAAGTACTGTTGTATGTTTTCATCAGGAAACACATAATGGTCAGTTTCTCTTTTTTTGTGATATTTAGGGCAATTGGTGGGTTCAAGAGTTGTCAGACTAATCCTTGCATTATAAAGTTGATCAGTCTTTTGTAAAGAAGCCTTTTGGTAAACAAGATGATTACTGATCCATTGCCTCACTGATCTTTTTAGTGCTATGAAAGCTTGAATTCAGTTTGTTCAAGTCTGTATTTAAACCAAAAGATAGATTCTGCAAGAGCTGTGGGATGAAGAAAGAACCCAGTTGGGTTGTATAAATTATGATGCCTAACTACTGAAAAGTTTCCAAAAATGATATATTGTCTGATCCTCATTCTTCTTCTACCTCTCTTACTACTACTTCTCCTTAAACACTGGATCTTTCTAGGATTCTATCCTTACTTCACAGCCTCCCTGATCCTGTACCTCTTCTTGGTTGACTACTTACCCTAATGATTTTACTTTCGTGTTGTTGGCTTACCTCTATACCATCAGTCCTGATTTACCTCTGTAGTAAATTAAATGACTGTGGAATAGATCCACTTGGATGTCTCAGGGTAACTCAGTCTCAACATAGCCACACAATCTCCTCCTGGAGAACCTGCTCCTCTTTCCACATCCCCTGTCTCAGGTGATGATACAATTAGCTCAGGGAGATTGACATTAGCTAAGACATCTTTTTCTCCCTTCCTGTTCATGTTAATCAATCAAGTCTGGCTGATTTTCCTTCCTGAGTAGTTCTCTACTTTGTCTCCTTTTCTCTAAGCTGTTATCACTCTGACCAAGGACCTCATCATTTCTCACTTAGACTCTTGAAATGCCCTTCAACTTGTTTTCCTACCTTTTTGTCTTCTTACACATTACTGCCAAAATTATCTAGCTCAAATTCAAACCAGATCATACCATTCCCGTGTTTCATAAGTAATAAAGTCCATGCTTCCTAACCTGCCTCCCCACGATTCATCCCTTGCCCACCACTTGCTCACCTCCTGCCACCCTCTGAGTTATGTATTTAATGATTATGACAAATTCAAACTGTTGGAGGATCTTGCATGTCATGAATTTTTCCCTTTCCTTTCCCTTTTTTTTTTTTCTTTTGAGACAGGGTTTCAATATGTGACCCAGGCTATCCCCCAATTTGCGATCCTCCTCTCTCAGCCTCCAGAGTGCTGAAATTATAGGTGCACATCACTGCACTGGCTCGCATTCTTTTCCTTTTATCACTTGTTTCTGCTGTTCCTTGAATTTGAAATGCCTTTCCTCCACTCCTTTATACAGTGCATACCTTCTCATGTTTAAAGACCAAGCTCCTCCAAGAACTCATTCTTGATTACTCCTTAAAGTGTTAGGCTGCATTATCCTGAAAGCACCTTGTTATAGGTCTGTCTGCCCTACTAGATCCCGAGGGATTTGTGGTCAGGCGATATGCCATATTTGTTTGATTGTTTGGTTTTTTGGTGGTACTGCAGGGTTTGAACTCAGGGTTTTGCTCTTGCGAGGCGGGTGCTCATCACTTGAGTCACTCTGCTAGCACCTTATTTGTTTTTATAACTAGTTTCTAGTCATAGCAGGAGCCCAAGAAATGTCTGTTGATCAGAATCAAACTGCAGTGTCTCCTCTGTGTGCTAAATGTTACTCCAACTCTTTTAGTTGGAACATAGAGAATACAAAGTTTTATACAATATTACATTATTATAGACTGCCTCACTTCTGCCTTTAGTTGGCATATAGAAGTGGCTTCTATCAATTTGTCAATCAAATTCCACACAAGACTTCTGTAGACTATGTACTTATTAAAGGAATATAAATAAGAAAAGCATCACCTGCAAAAGTCTTCCCTACAACCTGTAAAGATAAAGCCAGTGGTTTCACAACATTCTTATTCCGGGTCAGGTCCTGAGCTCCACTTAAATTGATTGCAGAATTAGCTGGGCTGAGAACCGGTGAATCTTTAAAATGAAAGAGGTTGTTTAAATTAGCAACCATTTATATCTGTAGGAAGAAAGTTAATTCAACAAGGCCAAGTTGAGAAAAAGCAGGTTGTAAGACTTCAGTTCTTATTTTGTACTCTTCTGTTTTAGAGAAGACAACTTCTCTCTATTCAGGCTTAATTATTTTGTATTTATTTTTCAAATGCTCACTAGGAGTTATTATGTGCTGGGTGCTATTCTAAGTGCTTCAATATATGAATCCATTCCATCCCTATAACAACTCTATGAGGCAAGTACTATAACTTTAGGTAGCATCAGTAGTCATTAACCTAGTCAAAGTCAGAACACTTGTCATCAGGATATCATTATGCTCCATATGTATCAAAACTGTCTCTCAGTTCCCTAAACACTGTATTTTAATGAGAGAAATTTATCTCTATTTAGATGAGTTTTTAATGTAAAGTATCACACCAAGTAACTCATTGTAATCTAAAAGAAAACATTTTTCCCTGAAAGATAAAGTGGCTTTAATTTTTAAAATAAATTAAAATTAATTTATTGCAATACCAAGTACATCCAAAATAAAGCTTCTACTGGATTCAGAAAATAATCCAGTACAGCAAAACCACACACTATCTGAAAGGCAGGCCATGGGGGCATAAAGCCTGGCACCAACTGGAGTTCTCCTTTGTGAGTAGAGGCCCAGGTCCCTGACCTTTACTCTGGCAGAACAGCCAGCTCAGTTACTAGGGAAGTGTCCAAAAGAACTATCTGAAGTCTTTCAGAGTCTGAAAAACAAAGTGCTCTAAAGAACAGGATACTGATGATGCGACATTAGAAAATTTCTTCCAAATTATTTTCATATCACATGATACCTGACTCATCTATTCAGCGCTTCTGAGAGGAACTGAAGAGAATGAAATGGTCCCCACTGGCTCAGTAAAACCAAGTATAATGCAAATGCTATATAAACAGTTGTTACATATAGTGGTTGGAGAATAGTGACAAGAAAAAAATCTGTACATGTTCAGTACAAATGCAAATTTTTCCAGCTATTTTTGATCCCCAGTTAGTTGGATCTGGGAATGCAGTACATACAGACATGGGACCTGTAGAAATGGAACCTATCGGCATGGAGAGCCAACTGTACTTAGAGGGAAATTTATTCCTATACCAAAAGAAGAAGAAACATCTCAAATCAATATACACAAGAAGAGCAAATTATGCCCAAAGCAAGCAGAAGAAAAGAAAAAGACTGAAGAAATACAGAAATAGAAAAAAATCAATAAACCAAAGTTTGTTCTTTAAGTGGTAGCTAGACTGACCAAGAAAAAAAGAAAGAAGCTGCAAATTATTAAAAGGAAGAATAAAAGAGAATGTTCATCACTAGAAACCTTAAAGAATAAAAAGAATAAGTGAATGTTATGAACAGTTGTAAGCCACTGTTATTTACTGAAATGTACCTCCCCAAAGTTCATATGTTGAGACCTCTAGAACCTTAGAATGTGATTGGATATGAAGACTGGGTCTTAAAAGAGTTAATTAAGGTTATGTGAGGCCATAGGATGGGGCTCTAGTCCAATATGACTGTCATCTTTTTAAGAAAGGAAGAGATGCCAAAGATGCACCTGCACAGACAAAAGGCCACATGAGGACACAGCAAGATGGTAAATAACTGCAAGTCAAGGCGAGAGGTCTCACAAGGAACCAACCTTGCCAGCACCTCAGTTTTGCGACTTCTAGCTTCTAGGACTGTGAGAAAATAACTTTAGGTCAGTCGTATTTTGTTACAGAAACCTTAGCAAACTAAGCCATCAAATTAGATAACTTTAGTTAGATAATTAGATTTGAAATGGGTAAATTCTCATGCTAGAAATTATCAAAAGTGATTGAAGAAATAAAAAATCTAAATATGCTTATAATAAGAGATTGAATTAGTTAAAATAAGAAAACAAAAAATATACCACAACTATCCTCAGATAAAAATCCAGGCTCAGAAGACTTCATTAGTGAACTCTACTAACACTTCAAGAAGTGGTATTATTCCTTCACAAACTCTTTTAAAAACTAGAAGAGGAGGGAACACTTCCCAAGTCATCTGAACGGTCACTCATACCCTCTTATCAAAGCCAGACAAGTACCTCAAACAAAAAGCAAGCTACAGAGTGTAGTTTATGAAACTTGTGAACACAGACATAAAAATATACAACAAAACACTAGCAAATGAATCTAGCTGCACACAAAAAAAGATTATACACCGTGACTAGGTGGGATGGCTCAACAAATAAAAAACTATTAATGTCATTTTATTAATAAAATAAAGGACAACCCCCCCATGACCATCTGAATAGACACAGATAAAGAATTTGACAAGTTGGGCATGCTGGCACACATCCGTAATCCTAGCACTTGGTGGGAGTTTTAGGCCACCCTAGGCTATATAGTGAGTTACAGGCCAGCCTTGGCTGCACAGTGAGACCCTGTCTCAAACAAAAGAAGAATTTGACAAAACTCAACTCCTTTTCATGGTAAAAATACTCAGCAAACTAGGAACAGAAAAGACTATATTCAACTTGATAAACGGCATCCATGATCCTTTTCCCTGAAGATCAAATTATGATGTGGATGAAGATAAACATGTCCACTCTTGCCACTTCTATTCAGTATTGTACAGGAGGTCCTATTTAGGGTAATTAGGGACCATAAAATAAAATGCATCCAGCTTAGTTGGAAGAAGTAAAACCATATTTATTTATTTATAGACGGCATAATTCTTGCTGGGCATAGTGGTACTCACCTATAATCCCAGCACATGGGAGGCTGAGGCAAGAAGACAAAGAGTTTGAGCCCACTCAAACTATATATTCACTATATAGTTTGGGCTATGTAGTGAGATCCTGTCTTCCAAAAAAACCACATGGTCCTGTATATAGGAAATTCTAAGGAATCCACCTACCGAAAAAGTGATTCATTGAGGTCCCAGGATACAAAATCAATAAGCAAAAATCAATGGGCTGGAATGGCAGTAGAGTGCTTGACTACCTTGTGCAGGACCCCAGCACCAATACAGAAAACAAAACCGAAAATCAATTGTATTTCTATGCACTTGCAACAAATAATCCAAAAATAAAATTAAGAAAAAACTTAAATTTATAATAGTATCAGAAACTGTAATTAGGAATCATGCAAGCCCCATCAAATTTCCAGCTGGATTGGTCCCAGAAATTGACAAGTCAATCCTAAAATGCAAGGGACTCAGAATAACCAATAATTTTTTTTCACTACTAGGGTTTGAACTCAGGGCCTCAAGCTTGTTTGGCAGGTACCCTACCACTTGAGTCATGCCCCCATCCCTTTTTTGCTTTAGTTATTTTTCAAATATAGTCCTGGTGTTTTTGCCTGGGCTACCTCAGACAGAGATCCTCCCACCTATGCCTCTTGAAACAATATTGCAAAAGAAAAGCAGCTGGTGCCACAGCTATTTGAGAGGTACAGATCAGGAAGATCATGGTTAGCCTAGCACAGGAAAACAATTAGCAAGACCTCCATCTCAACCAACCAGGACCTGGGGCAATCCTCAATTAGTAAGAAACACGGGACTAAATCTCCCAGCCTCCCCTTTTTTTTTAGAAGGCAACTCCAGCAGGCATTCTGCATGCGTCTTAGATCTGGCGGACTCAAGCTTTCCTGCTTTAGAGGTTTACATGCAAAACACACCTTTATGTTGGCTTACTCCTGCTTCTAGGGATCACTTCCCAAATAAGCAACCTATAACCAAGTCTTTCTGTTAGGTTCTGAACCCAAAAGATGACATTTATAACTCAAAAATGAAAGGGTAAAAATATAGTTTACAGAAAAGAAAATGCAAATAGATTTTAAACAAATGGTAAGACGCTCAATGTCAATGATAAAGAAAAAACAAATTAAAATTACAGCTGTCATTTTTCACCCATCAGATTGACAAAAATCCAAAAGTTTAATAATAAACTTTGTGAGCATCTGTGAAAATACACACTTCCATGCATGCACTGGTAAAACTGAGTTTGACAAGGTATACGAAAATCACAAATGAATTTATGTTTGACCCAGCAATTTCTCGACATTAATATACATGTTAGAAATAATATATATTGAGATTATTTTTTGCTTTACTCTTTGGGAACAATAAAAATGACCTTCAATAGGGAATAGGTTAGAAATTATGGCATAATCAGATAGCATAAGGGTATGCAGCAGAACAAATTAATGAGGAAGCTCTCTATTGATTTTGGAAAGACCTTATGACATAGCAATATAAAAAAAAGTGAGATGCAGACAGTGCATAAAAATGCTGCCTTTGGAGTAGGAAAGGTGTAAAAACAAGAAGCTGGATTTCTGCTTGCTTGAATAGATATTAAAAAAATCTAAAAAGATATATAAGTAACTACAGTGATTACTTGTTTATGAGATAGGATGGAAGAGAAACTTACACGATTATATTTTATATGTCTACACATTTGTACATAGGTAGTTTTGAAAGTGTAAATGTTTCAATACAGTGGAGTAAATGATTTAAAAAAAAATAAGGATAGCTGGGCACCAGTGGCTCATGTCTGTAATCCTAGTTACTCAGGAGGTAGAGATCAGGAGGATCACAGTTTGAAGTCAGCCTGGGCAAATAGTTCATGAGACCTTATCTCAGAAAAACCCATCACCAAAAAAATGCTGGTGGACTGGCTCAAGGTGTAGGTCCTGAGTTCAAGTCCTAGTACTGCCCCTCCCCCATAAAAGGATAGAAAATAGTTAAACATAGATTAACAACTGGTATCAGGAATATTTCTTAAATATGTAAAGTGAAGATTTACTTCAGTATTAGATTACATAAAGTGATTTTTAAAAGAATTCCATTCCAATGGAACTGGCTTCCCCAAAGTCATCATGATCTAATTCCCAAGTTCAAATGACAAGTTTCAGTCCCTACTACACTGAATTCTATGGTTGCCTTTATTCACTTATTTGGCAACTAGATTTTCATTTGC